GGCAAGAATACTGGAGTGGGTTGCCATGCCCTTCTCCAAGGAATCTTTCCAACCCAGGGAACAAGATCGCCTCTCTTATGTCTCCTCCAAAATCCATGGAGTTCTTTACCACTACACACATATAGAAAACAGCCCTTATTGGAGTTGTTAGTCATCCTTTGAGGGAAGGAAAAATCCATTCTTCATGGGATATATAGACTGTCAAGACAGGATACCTTCGTAATCCAGTGTCAGTGGGTGGTGTATTCCTGGTGCTTTAGGACTTCTGGAAAGGGAGGGACTGAGCTTAGGGTGGGAACAGTGGGCCCAATGCGTTAGCAATGTCTAATTCGGTAATAATTATGAAATTTACCTAGTGAAGGATAACCACAACTTTGCCTAGCACTGGCTTGACTCTTAGAAGCTCTTTGAGGGATGTGGGTATATGTTAAAACTGGTTAAATAAAAATGTTAATTATATACTCCTCTAGTATTGACCTGACATGATGTAAACCTTTATACAAAAACATTGATTTTGACATCCCTTTGGAAAGCCATGAACAACAAATAGTTCTCTGCCTATCTCTTGATCCCTTTCCAGCTCCACATGAGTTCTCATATCTGTAGTTTGGGGGTTAAAAGAAACTGAGTTTAAGATCTTTTCTTCCTACCTCTGAGACCTGTTGATTAACTGCACAGAGTCTCTTTGCATCTGTGGGGTATTTTCTAGAGAGAAGGATGGCTGGTCTCCACAAGGTCACCTTCCCCACCCTCACACTGCAGCCATTCAGAAGTAGAGGACCAGCATTGACAGTCCCTGTCACCTGCTGGTCCATGTAACTCTTCCCCTTCTGCCTCAGGGCCTTTACACTTGCTCTTTCCTTGGCCTACAAAGCTGTTTCCCCAGACACTCCCACAGCATTGCATAGTCCCCTTGCCTGCTGTATTGTTTCTCCTTAGCACTTAGCACTGTCTAACAGATTGTACATTTTGCATATTTTCTTGTTTGGATGTCTGTCCCAACTGGAATGGTAGTTCCAAGATGGTAAGGATTTTTGTGTTAAGTGGTGTGTCCTTAGCATCTACAGCAGTACCCAGGACAGGTATTCCTTAATAAATAATCAGACACAATAATAAATAAATGATCACCTTTTTAACCCAAAGCACCCATTAGCCAGTTTGGATCCATGTTGAGTGCAGTCTATCAGGAGACAAGGAAATCACTACTTCACACCCCTACTTGAGACCCCAAGCCTGACACCCAGGTATGTTTGGGATTCCTTAGGTATCTCAAGCCTCAGCAGGCCAGAATAATGCATGACCAATTAATTAATTAACACTAAATTGGTTGAACTGGCCATGGGAGGCCCCTATGTGGATGCTACCCCAAGACTTGGATTCGGTAATGGCTTGAATTCCTTAAAATCTTTTTGCATACTTTTTGGAAGTTTATTTCAATTACATTTTCAGCACATTCAGTCTTTTGGGAATAAAACTGTATTTTCTCATGAAATTATATATATTCTGCACTCTGTGTATTGAGTATCTAATTAGGGTTTGTAGGCATAGATTTTGGCCCCTGAAAATATAGAAAGCTTCCATTATTGTCTTCAGTGTCCATAGACTCTTGCAGTGGGGCTTTAAAGTTTGTTGCTGTTGTTGTTTCATTGATTTCGTTTCTTCTCCTATCCTTTGGTTACCTAATTGTCTGGGTTTAGAATAGATTTGCAAATGAAAAGCAACCAAATTCAGAAAGCAAAAATGGAAACCTCAAATTAGGCTCTTAGGAAAACAGGCAAAAAGCTGGATGTCTTCTGAAAAGTGAAAGAAGGGAAGCCTTATCACCATGGAGGAGACAATTTCAGGATATCAGAATGCAGGGAACTGCAGTTTTCTAATTTAACAGTAAGTACACAGTACAAGTTCACACATTACAGGGCTCAGCTGAGAAATGAAATGATATTTCAGTATTTTAATATTCTCCATTTGAGGAGTTCTTTTTTTATGGGTAAGCATCAAAATAGTAATATTATAGTTTCTCATTAAAATTTTTAAAATACACAGCTTATTTCCCAAGACATTCTTACCATTATTTGTAAACTCATAATAGTGACTTATCATCTTTCATATTGTTATTCAGTCGCCAAGCCATGTTATCAATTGCAAGTTTGTCCAACAGACTACTTGTCTATTAAGTAAACTGAGAGCCCATCCCAAAAACACATTTTACATAGATGCTTTAATGATGTTTTAATTCCTAGAAGCGCCAACTAGGCCCTTTAAAAATGCTCTTGATTTTTAAATCTATTCCTTATTAATCTATTTTTTATTGGAGCTTTACAATGTTGTGTTAGTTTCTGCCATACAGCAAAATGAATCAGCTACACGTTCATCTCCTCTGCTTTGGGATTTCCTTCCCATTTAGGTCACCACAGAGCACTGAGTCGTTCCCTGAGTACGTTCTCAGTAGTTATCTATTTTGATTTAAATCGTTCTACAAAAATTCTCTGGCTAAGGTATATTTATGGCTGATTCCTCTTGCTGTCCACCTCAGACTATCAAAACATTGTTAATCAATTATACTCCAATAGAGAAAAAGTTCTAAAAAAAAATTCTCCAGCTAAACAGCAGGGTTTTGTGGTTGCTGTCACACCAGACTTTGCTTTAATCAGATCATTGTGAAGTGAGTTTGGTTATCTGCAGGTAAAAAGGCTGGGAGCTGTTGACCCTTAATTAGAGTAAACCAAGATATTGAACAGTACTTCAAATGAGGGCCCAGCCTGGGAACAAAAAGCCTTAAGGAAAGCTGGCAGGAGAAAACAAATGCAGGATTCGGGCAGACAATAGCCGTGGTAGAGTCATCAACAGTCATTAGAAGATAAGGCTGCTCTGTTAGTAATGGAGATTTACAACTGCATTAGCTTAAGAAAAGCCTCTTAACACCTTGTTTTTCCAAAGCATTCTTCCCACCCCTAGAATTAACCAAGTAACTTTGGGTCAGCTTTGATTCCTTAAATTCAATTCTTTTAAACATATCTTTTCCTCTTCTGAGTCCCCAACTTCCTCCCTCTCTCTGTTCTTTCTCCCCAGAGAGAAAAATCCTGCATTAACAGCACCGAGGCTTTGGGGGGGTTCTGTTTGTTTGCGGGAGTACCCTTTTTCGCATTTGTTTGTGTTTTAACTAACCACACACCCTAACAGAGTCGTGTACCAACAGCATTTCTGTATTTCTGTCTAGATGAATGGCTAGATGGTAGAAAGTCACGATTTAGTTATTCTTTCAACCCAGAATAAGCACGTTGTTGAAAAAACACAACTATCATTCATCTTTCACCGTCCGAATTATGTATAATAACTCGAAGAAATTTCCCATCATGTTTTGCAGGAATGACCTGTTTTTAAAATCTTAAATTCACAGTCCTGCCTGCGAGGTCTCCTAGACTTTTATTCCTTTTTTTTCTTATCTGGGGTTATGGACCTCAGGAGAGCAGGGAAGGGTTACAAGGTCAAAGCCTTTTCCTCCTTGGAACTTGCGGCTTGCTGGGAGAGGGTTGCCTGGAAAATAGATGCTTTAGAAGGAAGAGGTTGGGGTCAGGATTTTAATTCTGTTAAGCAACAGCTGGTTTGAGTTTCTTTCCACTTCTATCTCCTGCTCCCTTCCTCACAAATCCATGGAGAGAAAGAATTTGTGCAGAAGGAACTGGCAACATAAAAATCCACCTTCTATTCCTAGGGTGCTTTATCTCTGGCATCTTTGTTACACATTGGATGTCAAGCACTAGAGGGATAGGATAGATTTGAGGTGAACTCTATGGGAAAGATGACTAGAGCTTTAGTCCAAAGAACCTTTTAAAATACAAGATGCACGCCTGCCGATTTCTTATAAGATTTTTTTCACTAAAACTTTTAATGGAAATAAGTGTCAGAAAGGCCACTGTGGTATTTGGAGGCTGACTGCCAAGAGAAGAATCATGGCTAAAATATTAAAACATGCCAAGTGCGTATTACTTGTTTCTGGACTAGAGACCATATCTGTCTCCAAATTATAGTTTGCCTTCATTTGTTCAACAAATGTTTATTGAGTGTTGCTCTTCCCACAAAGATGCTGGAGGCTGGGGCACAGCAGTAAGATGTAGAAGTGCTTACATGTGAGCAGGTGTATCAGTGTGAATCCGTCCAACTGGGCTTTAACCCACAAGTACACCCGCTATTCTATGTTTATGCATGGTGTGGGATTTTAAAATCAGGTCTGTTCCAATCATATTATTTTATAATCAACTCATAAATCCACTATTTAAAATGAATAATGTAATAACAGAAAAACAGTAAAGGGAAAAAAAGTTAAGACTTGAAAACAGTACAAGAAAAAAAAAATAAACCTCATGGTTAATTTTTTTAGATTGGGAAGTCTCCCATGCTTTTTTCCTACACACACCCACACACACCCACACACCCACACACGCGCACGAGCAAAATAAAACTCACATCTCTCAAATCAATGGCAAACTAGTAACAGATTTTCTGGTCTGGGCTCCACGCTGGCCTCAGGCTGTGTTGGTGTGTGGCTCGACAGCAATCAAAGGTCATAATTTCATTGGCAGTTAGCATCAGGTTTAATTTTTCTAGCATGTTAGATTTACCGAAATGTCTGGTTTCAGTTACACTTCGGCATTGACTGAATCAGCTCGGAGCAGTGTGATGTCTTCAGGTACCTGAGGTTTATGGAACACATATGCTAATTGTTTTCAATCACTTTCCTTTCTAAACACAAAAATGTGTTTTCTGAACCTGAGTAACAGTAGTCCTTATTGACATTGCTCCTTTCTTACATTGAAAAAGGACCCAAAGTAGGTAAAAATGTCAATTTAATAAGACTGCCACCTACTGATTGAGCAGTTGGCAAACTCTACCAATTTCAGTGTTTGGTGGTTGTTTTTTTTAAATAGCTGTGTATGGTTTTTCCCAAAAAAATGTAGATGCTTTTTGAAAATTAACATGTATCAATTTTAATTGTGTTTTAGGAATGTGACCAAGTTCACATAGACGATGTCTCTTCCGATGACAATGGACAAGACCTAAGGTAAGCCCATGATTGGGATGTTATGGGCCCCGTGTTATAGTTTAACTGCTCAGCTCATTAAGATGAACTTTCTCTTTGGTTAACTTTGGGCTTTTCTTGCATCTAAATAGCACATATAACTTTGGAACAGATGGCTTTCCTGCTGCAGCAACCAGTGCTAATTTATGCTTGGCAACCGGTGTGCGGGGCGGTGTAGACTGGATGAGAAAGTTGGCCTTCCGCTACAGACGAGTAAAAGAGATCTACAATACCTACAAAAATAATGTTGGAGGCAAGTGACTATCACCAGTAGCTTGCTGGGTTGGTTAAGACAGTCTCAATAAAATACTGAAGAGCATCACACATTTACATCACATTTTTTTGGGTAGAAAAGCTTTTGCTGAAAGTAGTTTCATCTACCCAGTGATTATTCTGCTGTGATTGAATGAGAGAATAATAGACTTAGAGCCAGCTGCCCTGGCCAGGCTAATCTAGTCCTGGCTCCCTTTCTTAGCAGTGGTGTGAGTTAGTAAACTTACTGGAGTAAGTTTCTTGACCTCTTGCCTAAAGGACTTAAGAAGAATCATAAAGCATCCTTCTATCAGGTAGATGCTTGTATTAGTTCATCTTTTGATTGTGTTTCTAAAGGACTTTCGTGTGAAAAGGAATATATTGACCTCCCTGGCGGCTCAGATGATAAAGAATCTACTTGCAATGCAGGAGACCTGGGTTCAATCCCTGGGTTGGGAACATCCCCTGGAGACGGGAATGGCAACACACTCCAGTATTCTTGCCTGGAGAGTTCCATGGACAGAGGAGCCTGGCGGGCTGCTATAATCCATGGGGTTGCAGAGAGTCAGACACAACTGAGCAACTACCACACAATGAAAAGTTTAAGGGTGGTGCTGGTTTCTGGCATGGCTAAATTCAGATGCTCTGGTGATGCAATCAGTAATCCTTGGCCTGTGATTTCCTTTGGGGTCAGTCCCTACCAAAAGGTGGCAAGAGTGACCACCAGTAGACCCAGACTTCTATTCAACCAGTCCAGCACCTCCATGGGGTAGAGAAACTTCTTTCCCAATAGAGTCAACAAAAAAGTTCCAGACATTTTCAGCGGCCAAGCCAAGGTCATATGCCTATTCTGGGAGCCAGAGGACAGTGTTGTGTCTCTGCCCAAATTATGCAGTTGGAGGAATAGGGGTGAGTAGGCTCCCTCAGTAGAAGAGAGGACCTCTAGAACTAGAAAAAGGGATGCTGGGAATGCAGAAACAATAGATGTCCCCTACGGTACTAAATATTTGTTGAATGGCATGTGAAAAATTGCTTAGTAGACCTAAAGCTTGAGGGCGGTATTAGAGTAGTTTTAAATGTTTAAAGTTGGCAAGACTCGTTGGTAAGGAAGTAATTGCTTTGCTTTCAAATCCACAGGTCTGCTTGGTCCAGCCAAGAGGGAAGCCTGGTTGCAGCTGAGGGCTGAAATTGAAGCCCTGACAGACTCCTGGTTGACACTGGCCCTGAAAGCCCTCACGCTCATTCACTCCCGGTAAATTGTCCCCAGGTCACTTCGTAGGGCCTCTGCCTGAAGGCGAGCCTTGCTTGTTCATTTGGGGGACTTCTTTTCCAACTGTATTTTCTCTCTCTGTCCCCGTAGAGCAAACTGTGTGAGTATTTTAGTAACGACTACTCAGCTTATCCCGGCGCTGGCGAAGGTGCTGCTGTACGGGTTAGGGACTGTGTTTCCAATAGAGAACATTTACAGTGCGACTAAAATAGGTAAGCTGCTGTCTACTCGTTTATATAACATCAGCCTTTTGCTTTCAGGCTCGTGAACATGCAAGGCAATAAACCGGATTTTATTTACAGAATTCTAAATGTCAGAAAACTAGAATAATGTTCAAACCAATTTCATTGTCAAAATTGCCTTTAGATAGCAAGAGAAATATAAAGCACAATCCATGTAACTGAACTCAGAAAATTTTACTTCACTGGCTGACATTAAAACTTCTGCATTTTACTGTAGTCAGCTTAGCATCATTTTCAGATTATTATCTTATTTTTATTCTCTTAGGCAGCATCAACAAAAATTATTTTATAAGCTAGAACAAGTAGTTATATAGAAATATACAAAGCAGAAATAACTAATAGCAGCTTTAATTAGGCAACTCCAATAAATTATTATTACTGGAACTATTTTTTTTTCTGCTTTAATTTAACGTGTGTAAATGATTAAGTTCTCACTTTTGTTATGGGGATCAAAAAATTAGATTCTTGCAAGAAGAAAATGTAGTTAAGAAAGATTACTGTGAAATTTACTTAAAATATCAATCAAGACAAAACAAAAGTAGGAATTAAAAGAAGACATGGCTCTTGTTCTTAGGGAATTCACTGTCTAGCAGAGGAAACAGACAACAAAATAACTGTAGTATGACAAAATATTCAGTGGTATATAAATGAACATTTATCAAGTATTTACTAGGTGCCCAGAATTGTACTAAACATTTTACATATTAAAGTCCATCTTTGCAAACTTTTCATTTTACAACTGAGGAAGCTTAAATCTCAGAGATGTAAGTCAGTCAGTTTAAGTTAATAGCTAGTAAAGTTGAGGGTTAGAGTAGATCTCTGAGTCTAAGGTCCAGCAAACCATTCCACACGCTGAGGGATCCTACCAGTAAGTGCCCAAGTGTACAGTTCAGCGGGGGAGCATTCAGTCCCACTCAGAAGGAGACAGAAGGGCAAGTGTCAATGAAAGTTAAAGGGAAGGTATGACATTAGAGCTGGGTATAGAAGGGTATATAAGAGTTTTTATATAGGCATATGGCTAGTGAGAACAAAGCAACAGAGAAATTAAAATGTATTCCCTGCTGAGGGACTTGTGAGTTTTCCTGGGTGATTAAAATACAGTGTTCATGGGTAGCTGGCAAGGTAGATTTGGGTTTTAAGTGGCCTTATATGTTGCTATGATGAGGTGAATGTTACATAATTGAGTCCTAGGGACAGAGGATGAGTGTCCTGGTAAGTGGGAAGAAGGTTGTTTCTGGCTAAAGAAAAAGGGGCAAAACAGACTATCTATCTCTGACTTGTTCTTCTCTTCAAAGAATTTACTAAATTATCATTAAAAAATTACTTGTTATTTGTTCACAGCCTCCTTGATAACTGAGTCTGTCTGTATCATTCATCATTGTAACCATAGGGCCTAGCACATAGTAGGTACTCAATGTTGAATGAAATGGATGAATGTATGGTTGTTTATTCAGAAGAAAACTGACAATAGAGGTTTCTTTTAGGCAACTGCATCAGTAATGACACTATTAGCTGATGGGGAAATCAGGTTTGATGACAAAAATAAGAGTTTGATCCTACTTATGTGAGTTTGAAGAACTGTAGGATAGTCAAATAACCCTATAAAGTTGGAAATAGTTGGAGTTTGAGAATGACTGCTGCCTCCTGAGAAGGGCCAAGAACAGAAAACTAGAAGACCCTTATAAAACAAAGAATTCCTAGTAGACTGATATACCCAGAATTTTTACATGTTCTCACATAAATTAGTAATCAATTTCCATTAACTCAGGTCTTTATCTGTATCAATTAAGAGAAATCATGTTTTGTGAACAGGGATCTAAGATAAGGTTTTATTGGCACATGAAAGAAAGAACATACTTCAAATAAGTATATAATATACAAGGGATAGTACTTTAACTTCCTAGAAGGAAAGGAATAGTAGTATATTACATGTTCTGCAAATTGAAGTTTAATCCCAGATAATCTGAAAATGTGAGGATAATAGGAAATTATAATAACAAAAAAGTATTGTTAATGGACATATTGTTTGCAATATTGGAATTTTTTCAGTATAGAATAAAAGTTCAATTTAAATACTGTACAGTGGTAGAAATCATCTCAAAACCAGTGGTAGAATCACATTCCTGTGATTTTTTTTTTTTTTACTAATAAAAATAGAGACTGAAACTCCTGTTAATTACTGCTAATCTTGCCATCAAATGAGATGTAATATGGGGATCAGTACAGAAAAACCAGGGATTCTTTCCCTGTAGGCAAAATGGCAAAATCAGAGAAGGAAAGGGACTGGTCTCTCATTCAGCAGAGAGCTGTGATGTTCTTTCAGACAAAATGGATACATCAAAATCAAAATTCCATGTAAGACCTCAAATTAACCTCTAAAAGTGAGCTTCAGTTTATTAATTCTTATTGTGTGTTCACAATGAACCTTGGGTGAGAATTTGTCCATCACAGCTTTATTTTAAAGTCACATTGAGTTTACCTTCCTTTTCCCGTGAAGAGGAAACTTTACAAAAACATGCAAACATTTCCCTCTAAGGGGGAAAAGAAAGTTTCATGACATCCAAGTGTTCGGTTGTATATTTTTTTGCAGTGAAAACCAGCCTTTGTATTTGTTTCTCAAAGTGATTTAATATTTCACAGGTTAGTGAGCAACTACAGAAGCATTGAAATGACATCTTTGAATAAGGCTGGCTCCATTTCATTCTGTCAGATGCAAACTAGAGATTTTAGTGCAAAATACAAATATAAAGCAGACATTTGTTTAAGCAAACAAGCAATTTGTTCGTGTGTATATCTGATCCTTATTTGAAAGAGGTACAGGTCCCGCTCAGCCATTCACATCTGAAAACTATAAACTGTCCCATTGTCCATTAAAATGACCTTATTGGCAGCCCTGGACTTGGAACCCCAGTTCCTGTTCTGTGAAGCAACAATGACTGCATTAACCGCAGGGATGTGCTGACAGCATAGCTGCCACTGGAGCCCAAACTAAATCTTGACATGGGAAAGATAATAGACAGATAAAGGTATCCTGTTACCTTTATCCCGCTTTTCCTCTAGGAAAGTGTTTTACTGAACATTAGATGCCTGGGTCAGGCAAGCATGCTTTTGGAGGTATTGTAGCATGGGTCAGGCAAGCATGATCTGGTAGGGCCCCAAATTACCTGACATTCATTTCAGAAATAGTTTTCCAAGAATATTTCCAATCAACACATTTGGCCTTGGGGGGTGTCTTTGATTCAAAGAAGTATTCCAACCTGAAAATGAAGGGATAAACTACGTCCGGTGTTTGATTTCTCTTGCCGTAACAAAACCAATCCTTCAGCTTTGTGCATCCTTCTCAATGGCCTTTCAATCAGATATTATATTCAGTGTTTGATAGATCATGAAACATTTTTTAAATCAAGTTAAAATATATTAGCAGAATGGCATGATTTTGTTTAGTCTCAGCTCAGAGTGGGCAAAGTACTACTACAAAACAATACTTTTTCTACCAGATTTATACTGTGAAAGACTAGATCCTACTTTTTAATAAATGAGTCTTGGAGGAAAAAGTACTAAAATTGTCAATTTCCCAGGAACAGGATACCACATGGGTAATTCATTTACAGTTTTTGCTGTATTGTGCTGTTCTGCATACTCCCCAAATGGCATGTAAAAGCATGCTTTTCCTAGTTCACACAAGTATGATAGAGTTGGATCAGAAGCATAAAGAAAGCATTTTATATAAAAAGTTTAAGTCCTAGAGTGCTGACTTACCCAAAGTTTACATTTTTTTTATAATTTACTTTTGTTCATTAGGAAAGGAAAGCTGTTTTGAGAGAATAATTCAGAGGTTTGGAAGAAAAGTAGTGTATGTTGTCATAGGAGATGGTGTGGAAGAGGAACAAGGGGCAAAAAAGGTGAGTGTTCCTCACTGGTATTTCTTGTGCCCTTTAATTTTTCTTAGTCCTCAAAATTCTGAGCTGGGTCATTTAAACACATTCCATTTCTCTGAAACAGATTGTGAATGCGTTCAGAACTGTAAGCACTGATCAAGGGCAGAGTAGAATTAAATCATTATTGAAATAATCTTTTTGAAGAGTGATATTCACAAGCTCAGGGGTCATGGATGGTTCATCTTCACAGAACGTGGACTTGGGGAACAAAAAAGGAGGCTTAGCTCTGCATCTGTCACCTGGAATAGAGACAGCGTACATGCCTGCTAACACCAGCATGCCCCTCTCTGCACCCATGGCAGACATCACCAGGTGATTAAACCTTTGTTACCTAAGCCTGGATGTAGCCTATGAATCTTCTAAACATCAGTTCAGAAAGACTCTACCAGCTGATCAGAGCTAGGATGCAAAACTTTTCTGCCCTAGAGTATAGTATCTTCTTTTGATCACGAGGTCAGTGAATTACCCCTTTGGGGATGTGCAGAAAGGAGGAAGGAAGCAGACCTAACTATTAGGTCTCTTAACCTAGTTTACCCATCATATTTCTTTCTATTTTTCCGCATCCCTGCAAGTATAATTCTGTCATTTCCTTTAGCAAAAGCTTTCTCATGAATGTCCTTCATCACATTTTAAAAAGGGGGAAGGAGAGGGGACCACATTCCTTAGCCAGGCATTCAGGATCTACACAACCTAGTAACAACCTACCTCTCAGGCTCCTCCACTCTTGCCCCTTGAACACTGTAGGCACACTGGTCTGCTTACCTTCCTTTGGCCACACCCAGGGCTTCCTCCTTGCTGTTGCTCCTTTCCCCAGGGCCTGAATGTCACTGTCTTCCTCATGTTTCAAAATCCAGTTTATATACCACCTTTTCTGTTTCTGTTGTTTGTAAGAACTCAGTTATAAGTAGCACCACTTATTCTATAATTGGAGAAAGCGAAAAAAGTGAAATTGTTAGTCACTCAGTCATGTCCGACTCTTTGCAACCCCATGGACTGTAGCCCACCAGGCTCCTCTGTCTACGGAGTTTTCCAGGCAAGAATACTGGAGTGGGTAGCTGTTCCCTTCTCCAGGGGATCTTCCTGACCCAGGGATCAAACCCAAGTCTCCAGCATTTCAGGAAGACTCTATACCATCTGAACTACCAGGGAAGTCCTTAATTGGAGAAGCTATGGGAAATAACTTGGATTCTTGAGCCAGACAGCCTGCATTTGAATTGCAGCTCTATCATTTACCAGCTCTGAACAGGTTACTTTATCCTTCTCTTTCTTTATCTATACATAGGGACAATAGCAGCACCTAGTTCATTGGGCTATTTTAAGGTTTAGATTTAGTTAACATTATTGACTATGAGACTTTTGCAGAATCTAGCAACTGTGGCTGGCAATTTGTTACGTAAGTGAATACTGAAACACTCTGGTGTTTCAAGTAACAAGAGATATATTGATATGTCTCTGGTAAATAAGTTGTTAAGATATAAAACAGAGCCTTATACCTATGAAGTATGCAACAAGTGGCAGCCATTATTATTAACTATTTGTGCCTGTCTCAGCAGTTAAGTATGAGCTCCTGAGAGGTAGGAATCTTATATTTGATTGATTTTTGTTTGACCCTCAGTCTTCATTTCTTTTTTACAACTCCCTAAATCTTGGCACAGTCATGCTCTAATATTTAAGTTGAAGAGCATTAAATATTTTGAGATTAACCAATAGGATAATTTTTTCATCTCTTGCCCACACCCTCACTCATAGAAATGACAATATATGTCCATAAAGGAGGCAAGCTCTTCTGGAATATTCCAGTATATTCCAGAAATGACACCACACAATAGATGCAGTATAGCACATGGCCAGCCTCGTTATAGAGTCCAAGAATGGTAAATTCACCTTCAGTAACCCTGAATTCCAGTAAAAGCATAGAAAGTGTAAGTCGCTTAGTTGTGTCTGACTCCTTGTGACCCCATGGACTGTAGCCTGCCAGAGTCTTGTCTGTGGAATTCTCCAGGCAAGAATATTGGAGTGGGTTGCCATGACCTTCTCCAGGGGATCTTCCTGATCCAAGGATTGAACCCATGTCTCCTGCATTGCAGGCTGATTCTTTACCATCTGAGCCACCAGGAAAACCCACCAAAGCATAGAAACTGACCCTAATTCTATAAATAATAGATTATTTCTCATATTCATAGATACACCATATGCCCAGGATTACAGTTTCCCCAAGTGTGATCAGCACTGGTGGAAACCCACCCACACTTTTAAAAAACTTGATTCTAAGCAGTATTTGCCATCTAAGCACTCACCCTGCATTCCAGCTTCACCAATGGCCATTGACATCAGGTACATCTGTCTTCATAAAAAGACAGCCTTTGGGCTGTCTTCATAAAAAGAAATCTTTCCTAGACTAAATAAAGTGCCCCAAACTCAGCCCTGGAGAGTTAAAGAGAATATTTGGTGCAAATCCAGACTCAAGTCTTTTTCCTGAGAAAGCCTCTGTAATCCCCTGCCATTTCTAGACAAGACCTCCTAGTGGCGATGGGAACATGGAATAGTTTTGCACCTCTGAGCATCATAGAATTGAAGAACAGAATTGCATGCCAGGATGGCCCAGGGCCAAGGTGTGAATGTGCCCTCCAAGCTGGTCCTTCTCCATCTGGTATTCAGCAAAATATTTTAAAAAGAAGCCAAAATGTGGCTTTCTAGCTTGTGGTAGACAGAAGAATGTTTATGAAAGTGATGACTTAATATGAAAAAAAAAAAAGACATAAGTCTTTGGTCCCCAATCAAGGATTCAAGATTCTGTAGACCAGTTTCTTCCTAAGCCTTTCTGAGAAGTTTTCTTTCTTAGATATTTGTGTGGGTGAACACACATGCAAAAAGAAAAGGAATTACTGGTTTGATATTAGAATTGAAAGTAGAAACAGTACTGAGAGTATTTGTTCCCTCTGAAGAGCAGTTAAAATTGTTTCCACTGTTTATCCCTTGGACATATTATTCTTTTTATTCAGGACGAACACACACACCTGTACCAAAAAAAAAAAAAAATTAGACAACTGCTTACAAAGAACATCCTCTTTAAATTGTTTGACCATGAATGAGAACTTGCAGCTTCAACTTTGTTTTAGTTTCTTGGGATAAGTGTTTGTGATCAGTGCAGTACTCTGTTACAAAGGAACTCTGCACTTTGAGACCTACCAGCTTGGAAACTCTAATGAAACTATAACCTGGAGTTGTAAGATCTTTATGTGTGTTTGTAAATTGTACAGATTTTTCAGAAATACTCAGATTTCTAAAAATTGCACCTGTGATTCAGATGTCACAGGAAGGTAAATACTTTGGCCAAGATCACATGGCTTGAAAGCTACCAAACTAAGACATGAAGCTGATTATATCTTTGAGATTCCGCACAAAGTTCCTTCAAATTATAAACTTCACTTAGACATCTTAAATATGATTTGATTTACAAAAAATAATTTTAATGCTTTAAAAAAAATTGTTATAGTGTGCAATGTTTATTTCCTTTTGGGAGGTATATAGAACTGTGTCAAGTGTTCTCCCCATTTTAAACTCATGATTAAAATTTTAAAAATAAATCACTAATTCTAGTTTATGATTTGGTTCACAAGCATTTCAGATTACTAAATAAAACTGACAGTGAAACAGTGAAGTGCTGCAAGAGTGGGTACGAAAATGATTTGCAAAATCAAAACATTTTGCTTTTCTTCTAAATCAGTTTTAACCATTTAGCTTGTGTCTTAGTTTCCTGTGTCCTTTTAAAAATCTAGTACAACACTCTTGCCTCCTACCTGTAGAGATGTCTTTCATCTCCCTAAATGATGTTCTTTTGCTAGATGTACTGTTTTTGTTTTTGTTTTTTTAGCCCAGGAATGAAAACTAGGAAGTATTCTGCCAGTTACCTGTTTTGTTATGCTCAAAATCTACTGTCACTGTTGCTCTCTCTTCCAGTACAATGCCAGGAGTTTCATCAGTAATTTGATCTAACTCTATAATTTGTATCATTAAAAAACATTCCTTCAAAGAGAAAAGGTTAGAGATACCTTTGTTTTTTAAAAAAACATTATACTAAAAAGATCTTAAAAACATTTTTTTTATTGGAGTATGGTTGATTTACAATGTTGTATTAGTTTCACATGTATGGCAAAGTAAATCAATTATACATATATCCACTCTTTGTTAGATTCTGTCCCCATGTAGGTAATTAAGACTGTTGAGTAGAGTTCCCTGGGCTATATGTGCATGCTCAGTCACTTCAGTCATGTCCGACTCTTTGCAACAGTAGGTCTTATATATATATATTAATTAGTGTGTTTATGTCAATTCCAATTTATCCCTTATCCCCTGGTAACCATAAGCTTGCTTTAACATCTGTAACTCTTTGTCTTATAAATAAGTTCATTTGTACTGTTCTTTTAGATTCCACATTTAAGTGATATGGTATTTGTCTTTCTGTGTCCAACTTCCTTCACTTAGTAAGGTCCATTCATGTTGCTGCAAATAGCATTATTTCATTCTTTTTATGGCTGATATTTCCATTGTATATGTGTACCACATCTTCTTTATCCATTGCTCTGTTGATGGACATTTAGATTGCTTCCATGTCCTGGCTATTGTAAATATTGCTGCAATGAACACTGGGGTGCGTGTTTATCTTTTTTAATTACGGTTTTCTTTTTCTGATCTCTCATTGCTCATATATAGGAATGCAGGAAATTTCTGTGTATTTTGTTTTCTATAACTTTACCAAACTCATTGATGAGCTCTAGTAGTTTTCTGGTCCAATTTGTATTCCTTTTCTTTTTCTTCTCTGATTGATGTGGCTAGGATTTCCAAAACTATGTTGAAACATAGTGGTGAGAGTGGACATCCTTTTCTTATTTCTGATCTTAGAGGAAATGCTTTCAGTTTTTCACCCTAGAAGAAATAAGCAAATTCAAAAAAGATCTCTTGTA